CACCTGCAACCCCCACCCACTTCAAGTGGAAGTTTTGGAAGCTCTGAAAAGCCACGCCTTCAGTAACTTTCGAAGGCCCATTTTGAAAGTTGCTCTCAAAGTCAAATTTTGCCTGGGGACGAATTTGTGTGGCTTCCCCAGGCAGAATTTGTGGGGCAGGTCCAGGTTTGTCTGTCCCCTGCGTTCCCCAGCCAGAGTGAGGAATGCAGCCAACTGTGCACTTTCCGTTGGCTCCCTGATGAAAGTTCAAAGAAAGTTCTGGGCACACATCTGAAGGCAGAATTTTGAAATAACCTTTCATATCCCTTTAGCTATACTGCTGCCATATTAGCTGAATGCTCACCTAGAGATCACCAGTAACTTTATTCACATTCTCTGGTTCCATCAAGTGATGGTACTATTTCTTTCAAAAGACAACAGCACAATAGAGCACGAGTGGGCATTGTCTATCCTACGGTGCCCAGCCTTGGAAAGGAGCTGCCTGATTTTACAAGTTCTGTGAGTAATAGCTGTGTTAGCTGAAACTGACGTGACTCAAAGTTTAGTCTGAACTTTAACAAAGACAAAGAGTATATAATCATCCTTCAATTTTTTTAAAAAAGGGTAAGAATGTTTCAGGCCATTATAAATAAAAAACATCTCAATTTGCACTTTTCCTACTGACAAATAGGGAAGCCCACCCACTCACTTACCCACTCACCCACCCACACAAAGAAGTCTTGTTAAAAGACGCCTTTCACTTCTGTACAAGAATTGTTCCGTGGGAAGTGAAAATGAACTGGCGCCAAGCGGATGAAGTCAGGGGAATTTTGGGGGGATAGAGAGGATGAAGGCAGGGGAATTTTGTGAGGGGGGAGAGAGAGAAACAGAGTGCAAGTGAACCACTGTCTACATGACCAGTTATTTTGGAATAACTTCACCCCCAAGGGTCATAAGTTACACTGACCTAAGCCGTGGTGTGGACACCACTGTATTGTCAGGAGAGCTTCTCTCACCAAGTCATTACCACCTCTCACGGAGATGGAGACAGCTCCTGCATGTTGCTTCACCAGACAAGTCTCTAGCTGTAAGTCAAAGGCTTAAGTGAGTGCCAAGGGAGCTAGGCAGCAGATGCAAAAGCACACACAATCAAAATCTAGACTAGAAGTTAAGGGTCCTTAACAACTCAGCACCTTTTAGTTAGAAGCAAAGTTTAATGAGTAGGTCAGAGAAAGGCATCTCTATAATTTAAGAGAACTATTTAGGACATTGAAGGGTACTTCTGTTCCTGCAGAAACAAGGACCAAATCCAGAGGGGAAGAGCCATGTCCTGAGAACCCAAATCAAGCCAGACTCAAGTGGAGGCTCTGTTCAATATGTCTCACCTTGTACCTGAGGCTAAAGACTTAATATTAAACACTTTGGTGGAGTAATAGCTAGGACTTTCTATCTTAACATCCAGCTAAGAAACCTTTCAAATACAGAAACTAATCTGAAACCTCCTGTAGCCTGCAGGAGAAAAGAAGAACAAAGCATGAAGTATCTTAAAAGTTTAATAACTGACTTAACTAAGGCCATGAAACATTTGTCTATGTTTACTCTGTGGCTACGTCTACACTGGCATGATTTTCCGGAAATGCTTTTAACGGAAAAGTTTTCCGTTAAAAGCATTTTCAGAAAAGCACGTCTAGATTGGCAGGATGCTTTTCTGCAAAAGCACTTTTTGCGGAAAAGCGTCTGTGGCCAATCTAGATGCGGGTTTCCGCAAAAAAGCCCCAATCGCCATTTTCGTGATCGGGGCTTTTTTGCGGAAAACACTACTGTGCTGTCTACACTGGCCCTTTTGCACAAAAGTCTTTCGGAAAAAGACTTTTGCCCGAACGGGAGCAGCATAGTATTTCCGCAAGAACACTGACAATCTTACATGAGATCGTCAGTGTTCTTGCGGAAATTCAAGCGGCCAGTGTAGACAGCTGGAAAGTTTTTCCGCAAAATCATCTGATTTTGCGGAAAAACTTGCCAGTCTTGACACAGCCAGACTGTGTTTGCAGCTGACAGTGACCACTGCCAACTAAATGGAAGGTGATCTGTCCTCTGCCTTTCAATACAACATAAAATGAGCTACAGAACTGCGGGATGTTTTATTGTGACCTGCTTTTAATAGCTAGCAAAAAAAGTGTAATGTGAGTGTAATTTAGGGTAAAAAACCCAGTGTAATGTAGAGCGAGTCTGTCTGTCTGTCTGACTGTGAGTCTGTTTGTTCAAGAACTCCTCCTGAACGGTAAGAGCAAGGGCCACCAAATTTGACATGCAGCTTCCTCTTCTCCTAACTTAAAGCAAGGTTGTACCAGGACAGCTGGGCACCCTGGGAAAAGGACAGTTTTTCATAACATGCAAAGGGAGGGGCTGCTGTTCAGAGGGACGTGATACTAAACGTGTCCATTGGGGACAGTGAGGCTGCAGAGTGTCCAAAGGGGGCAGCTGTACCATCAAGGGAGTGGCCAGCTGAGCTGGGTCTCTGCCATCTTGTCTGTGAGCACACCAGATAAGTACCCCCCTTTCCCCAAATCCTTTTCCCCGCTCTGGCCCTTGGCCACAGCACTGGTGGGGGTGGGAGAAACCATGGAGGCCAGAGGGGGGGTGTGTGGAGAAAAAAGGCCCTGTAGACTAGGGGGACTTAGTGGGGAGAGAACAGACCCCTGATGGATTAGAGGGGACTGCCCACTTTGATCCCCCCTCTCACCCAAACACTCATTCTCACCCTCCCTGCACCCAGCCTCCTGCACCCCGGCCCCCACATCCCCAAGGTCCTGCCTTGAAGGACCTGGGCAATACTGGGTCAGTCTGCTAGTCTACTGTATATTTGAGAGAGCTCGTCTGTGAGCGAGCAAGCGAGAGCGTCTGTCTGTCTGTCCATCAGTTTGTTCAGGAACACCTCCCAAACGGTAAGAACTAGGACCACCAAATGTGTGATGCCGTTGCCTCTTATAACTGAATGCAGTTTGGTTGTGTGGGGTGGGGAGAGGGGGCTGAAGCTCCTCCTCCCCCTCCCCCATGCATAAAACTATACAGAAAAGAGACAGAATCATCAGGCAGGTGAAAGGGGTGGGCTAGGGTGTCTAGGACTGCCCCACACCTCTCACCTCCCAGGTGCCCTTTAGAAAGGTCAGGGGCTTCAAATCCTCCCCCCATTCGTATGGCAACATTGCTGGCTGTTCCCTTTCATCAGGGAGCCAAGGGAAAGCGCACAGCTTGCTGTATTCCTCACTCTGGCTGGGGAACGCAGAGGGCAGGCAAACCTAGACCTGCCCCAAGTCAGGGGACGTGCACCCCTCTCCCAGCTGTGCCTGCTGGAGCTGCAGCGGCCATAGAGATGCACTTCTCACCTGGCCCCACACTGCTGCGGTGAGAGAGGGCTGCAGCTGTCCTCTCTCCCCAGGCAACCTGCATCCTGAACCCTTCCTCCCCAGCCCCACCCCAAAGCGATGTTATAAACGAAGAAAAAGAAAAAATAATCGAGTTAAGGAACCGAGCAACGCTGGGTAAATCTAGTCACAGAAGGACCCACGGGGTGCTGGGGAACTCCTGCAGGCTAACAGTATAGTAATTCTGGGAGTAGCCACCTCCAGCTATCCTCTGCCACCGAGGACTTCCAGCAACTAATGGAAGTGGCGATGAGATGAAGATACATGGAAAGAGAATAGGAGATTTGAGGAGACCAAAGAAACTCCCTGTCTTACAAGAGAAGAGCAAGGGGGCTACTTGAAGTTAAAAGGTCTGAAATTCAAAGTTCAGAAGAGGAAAGACTTCTACACACATATAGACTGTAGAATTCACTGAGGCCAAGAACTTAACAAGAAAGGGACTGGCCATTTCGGTGGGTTTCAAGAATATCCTGAGTTAAAAACGTGTGCTTGCGGGTTTAAGACCTTTTCTCTATATTAGATCCCAAGATGGGACCTACTATGGTGTGTGTGTATGGGGGGATGATTATTCCATTTCTGCCTACTGAGGGGTGTTTACACATTCACCTACACCTCTCTAGCATCTGGGGGAAGCCTCTGTCAGAGACAAGATACTGACCTGGATGGATCTTGGATCTGAACCATTCTTTGAATTCCTATGATCTTCTGCACCAATGTTCGCTCTAATCTTTTCCTTCCATGTGTGGAATTAATTTTGATGTGTTCCAATGCATGTGTGAATGTGCACTACCAATGGGGGAAAAAACAGCTGTGGGTGCACCGCTAATCAGCTGAGCAGCATCTGAATCTCTCCTGAGTGGCCGCCCAAGTGCACAGCTTACAGGGAAAACTGATCTGCACCCATTTAGCCCGTGATATACTTTAATTTCTCATGCTGAGTAGCAGTTCTCACGACATGTTGAACCTCTCTACTCCAGCATGCTCAGGACCTGACTAGTGCTGAACTAAAGAATTTGCCAAACCCCAGGAGGTCAATATTATCTAGCAGCATTACCAACACTTCCTCTGCTTACTGGGCTGTTAGAAGACATATGAGCGCTAAATAACAGCACAGAACACGGAGAACCAGAGCTAGTGCCTGTAAACAAACTTTATGGGACTGCAGGAAACTTGGCCACATCCATGTAAGTGGACATCTGGCTAAATAAAATCATGCCAGACTGTGGATGTTGCTGGACTAGAGAGGTTCAATCTGTACATACAAAATGGTACTTCTGGGCAGGTGGGGGAGAGTTTTTGGATGGAATCGTGCATGTCTAAAGTCAGCCAGAGCACAGAAGTAGGGCCTGCCGATATAAAACTAACCCAGTAATACACTCATAAATGATCAGCTCCTTGGATTGAGAGGAATAGGTAAGGATTTCTTCTAACCTGGGAAAATGAAACTAGCACAGTGCTGCATATCTAGAGAAGGAAACGGAGCTGTTCAAAGATGGGGTTTTCTGACGGTGGGAATTCCCGCCCACAGAAGTGGAGAGTAAGTGAAAATGCCCTACATATAGCAGTCCCTCTGAACGATACACTCCACATTTACTTGACTCCAGCTGAGCAGCAAGTGGAAGAAACAGCAGCAGCTCCAGAGCAAGACATGAAGTTTCTTACTCTTCTCTCACTCCTGCTTCTTCTGGCTGCAGATCTGCTGCAAGGTACAGTAGCATTTCCCTTGTCAGTTTGAGGGTTATATTATTTCTGCAATCTTGCATTGCTCTTCACTCCTCTTTCTTGTAATGTGTCTAAAAACCATCCACTGTCTCCAGCCGTTAGCACAAAATCCCTGGGTAAATGCTCTGCAAACTCTTACAAGTGTTAGATTTGAGATCAAATCTTCTAATAGCTGCAGGGACACAGTATCAGGAAATACTGAAGGCAGTAAAATAGAGGCAGCTGTTGGCTTTGTGTAATTGACAATGCAAAGTAAGTTAGGAGCAGGAAAAGCCACTCAATTCATATAATCGTATTTTGTTACTTAATGAGGTTTGCTCCCTCCCCTTCTGGAAACTGGCCTCTTGCAGCAGATGTGTCAAGCAAAGTGTAAATTAATGCTCAATTTATGGTAAAAAAGATGCTTTTCACTACACGTGTGCAGTTTTATTCTATATGATCCTAGAAAGTGAATGTATAGGATGAACACCACTAGCTCCATGCAGGTGCCATGCACATGTCTCTCACGTAATTGAGATATTGCTCAACTTTCATTTACTGAGGGAGCCTTTGAAACATTTTTGGAGGCAACTCTGCAGGAAACGAAAGTGACTAACAAGAGATTTTGTCCCAGCTTCTCAAAAGGAATGTAGATTCCTGTCTTCCATTGATTTCAGTTATTTGTTTTCCTGAACACTTTTGAAGATGGAAAAGATTAGATCTTTTCTGCTCTGATCTGTCAGAATAAAATTCAGACATATGCAATGAGCAAAAAAAAAAAAAAAAAATCTTATCTTATTTCACCTCTTGCATCTGCTAAAACTACAGTGAATTAGACGAAGTTACACCAGTATAAGAAAAAAGAGAATTGGGCTCATTAGGTTTATATAATAAGTATTATTGTGCTCAAATGCATTTATATAACAGTATTCTTTATGTCATTGTAGGAATGGCAACCTCCAGCAGAGGACGCTGTCTGTGTGTCGGACCTGGTGCATCTGCCGTCCACCCAAAAGCTATTGCAAAAGTTGAAATATTTGGGCAAACCAGCAGCTGTGAGCAAGTTGAAGTGATGTAAGTGCACAATTAATACTGTGCAGGGCACGTTATTTTAGTATTCAGTCATGTCCCATTTCATGCTAAGTCACCTTTTCTCCTGACAGTGTCACACTGAAAGGGAACGGGAAAAGAAGATGTCTGAACAACAAATCCAAGCAAGCATCACGCATGATACAGGTAGGTCATAAGAATGGCACCTTTTTCTTGGCTTTTTATTGAATACGTTACTTTGAGGTTTTTCAATGCAAGCTGTAGGGAATGCAACTTTGGAATATGAGGAAATATTTTGCTTGAGTCTGTATTAAACCCTTTATAAATCCAACATTAGATATTTGGGAGACAAAAGCCTCAGCCCCTTTTATCAGTCTACTATATATCTTTAGCAAGTTTCCTTCACCTCAAAACTCTTGGATTGACAGCACTGAAATGTTGATATTGGGAGATACCATTGGATGAAAGGACCCCTTTTTAGTACAGTGTAGTCCTGGAAACACTGATTTAAATCCCTTTTCTTAAATCACAGCGCCATCATTTTGTGACTTTGTGATGGGTCAAATAAATCAAGAGCCTCACCCTAAAGGGTAATTGTGGTATGTGCGTAGACAAGATCTTATGAGCCCGTTACTTAAAAAAAAGCCAAACTTACATGCATTGTATTTACAAATTCAATGCCACGAGGAAGCTGATTCTTTGCCCATGTGAAGTTTTTTCATTGACTTTCATGGCTGCAAGATCAGGGCCTAGATTTTAATTTGTCATCACCTAGCAGAGATGAAGAACTGATATACAACACAACCCCTTCCAAAATGCACAGAAGTGATTTCCATTTTGCACAGAAGTATAGAAAAAGATGGATAGATAAAGAACTCCAGTAAGAACTGATCCTGTGTGAGATGGTGAACCCCTTTTCCCATCCTATAGAGGAATACAGTATGGGGAAATGGAATTAAGTTTGGTTAAATAGTAATTCCATGCACTAAGAAAGAGCACATGCAGAAACACAGGGATGGCCATTTCAAAAAGGCACCTTACAAAGAGGGACAGCTGTACAGAAACAAATTCCAGAGCAGCAGACAGTGAACACCAGTAAGAAGTTGGCATGATAGCCTAGAACTGTTAAATGAATAGATGGATTGTGCAGAGCTCGGTTCCAATTTAGCTTTATAGGAGAAGAGCCTTTGGAAACATACATGGTTACTAGGTTGACATTTAGCGGACTCTGAAGGGCTGTGTCTAGACTGGCAAGTTTTTCCGCAAAATCATTTGCTTTTGCGGAAAAACTTGCCAGCTATCTACACTGGCCGCTTGAATTTCCACAAAAGCACTGACGATCTCATGTAAGATTGTCAGTGCTTTTGCGGAAATACTACGCTGCTCCCGTTGGGGCAAAAGTCTTTTTTCGAAAGACTTTTGCGCAAAAGGGCCAGTGTAGACAGCACAGTACTGTTTTCCACAAAAAAGCCCTGATCGCGAAAATGGCGATCAGGGCTTATCTAGATTGGCCACGGATGCTTTTCCGCAAAAAGTTCTTTTGCGGAAAAGCATCCTGCCCATCTAGACATGATTTTCCGAAAATGCTTTTAACGGAAAGCTTTTCCGTTAAAAGCATTTCCGGAAAATCATGCAAGTCTAGATGTAGCCAAGGAGTCTGAATAGGAGATTTGAGGTTTTTAGTCCTGCGGCAGTGGAAAGTTTTCTGACGGGGAGGGGAAATCTTATCATGAATGTGGCCCACCGGGAGATGTGTGTGTTTCTGGCATGGCATGGCCTATCCGCTGTTTGCTCTTTGGAGCGGGTCTGTGTTTTGTGGTGCACCGTGCTCCCTGTTCACTGAACAGAACATTCCAAGTGAGGCCGTGCAATCTGGTTACCGCAGAATCCTGAGCTCGAAGACTGCTCAGTTCAATTCCCACTGCTGCTACCTAATCCCTGTAAGCCATATTCTGACACCCTTACACGCAGCATGTATCACTATAAGCCTGAAGTAGTCCCACTGATTTCAATCAAGGGCACCATTTCAGCAGGGCAGGAGGAGCAGCAACTAGGTGTACCGGGATGCTGAATGCTTTTCTTCCCTATCAGGGAGCGAGGGGAAAGTACTTGGCTTGTGTACCTGCCTCCCACTCCTGCCTGGTGAGGAGAGGAGGCAGAGGAGTAAGTCAAAAAATCTACATAGTTTCCCTTCCATCCCTGATAGTCAGGGGAATGGGAAGAAAAGCAAGCAGCATTCCCCTATGCACAGCTGCTGCCTCCTCCCCCCTCCCACCGCTGCCCTACCAAAATGGCGCCATTGACTTCAAAAGGCTATTTATGGAGCACGGTGCTATTTTGCCTTAGTAAGGGTATCAGAATCAGGTCCTATGTGATGCAGGGTAAGGTGTTTAACATCCGTGCCTCAGTTTTCCCAGCTGCAAAGTGGGGGCATTGGTATTTTCCCTTCTTTGCCATGCACTTTGCTCTCATGGACATGCAATAAATTGTGCCTGAAGGAGGCCAGACCAGAGAACTGACAGCACTCTTCTCCCTTGCAGAAATTATTGAAAAGAAGTAAGTAAGAGCGGTGTCCAGAAAGGAAGACTATGCAAAATAACTCGTGGACATGGCTGCCCATGCCATTTACCTGCTCATATGGAGGACAAGCACCTGGCAAACCTGACTGCTCACTGACGTGCTATTCCGTTACTGCTAGTACATCACGGTGTGTGGTTCACTCCAAAGAAGATAAAATATTTGCAGCTGTTTTTCCATGTGTCTTAACATCTGTCATCAATTTTCACACTCGTTGTTTCCACTGTTGTTGTTTAGCCTTTGTCAGGGCTTTGGTTATCAAAGACTTGAACGCACCAAAAAAGATTTGCAAGGGCTTGCACTCCATTAGGTCCTCTCTGTATTTTCCTTAGAGATGCTGTAGATCTCTATCCCAAAGAAACCAGCTGAGTCTTGTGGGTAAACCATTTATATTCTATGAATACTCAGGAAGAACATTCTCTTCTTCAAAAAACATGCACGGGAACAGTGTTCCCTGTAAGCTGAGAGCTTGAGCAGCTGCCCAGGATAGAGTCAAATGCTACCTAGCTGACTGACACAGCACCCACAGCTGGCAGCATATGTTCCTAGTGGTGGTGCCCATCCACACATGCCTTGGTGCACATAACAAAATTTATTCCACACATGGATGGAAAAAGTTAGAGGGAACATTGAAAGGGAACTCCACAGTTAGATAAAAACATGCTTGATACAAACTAACAAAAGCCAGCAAACTCAAGGTCAGAGTTTTAACCCTAGCTTTCACTCATAGTACTGATTGATTTGTTTCACAAGAGAGTTTAAGAGGGATTGTGACCCTCTGTTTTGGATTTTTCTCTTTGTATCATTCTGATTGTAACCTTGAGACATAATCTGTCATGAACAGTGAGACATAAGGTATACCTGTCAAAAAGCATACCTTAAAATACATACAGGTACATTTTATTTTGTCAGAGACTGTACATTTTTTTACATTCAAATAATATCTTTAATTTGTACAAGTGTTTTGTAAATAAATAGATTTATTAGGATTTGAGCATTGCTTTTTTTCCCCCCTTCTAAGGATGAAATTCATACCTTCCCCAAACACACAATGAATGCTCTTACTGGACTCAGACCCTCTGCAGATGTAAGTCCACCTCACCCCATTGGTTTAAATGAAGCAGTGTCAGTTTGCACTGACTTAGGGACTGTATTTTTCCAGCCCCCCTCTGCCCTCCGCACTGCCATCCCCAAAGCATGTCTCTAGTAACAGGATAAAGCTTTCACCGGTCTGATTGTTCTCACGGCAGCAGTATTGCGAACACCCCCCAAAAATGGTTAAAGATTGATTTTAAACTAGAGGAGTCACACACATTACTTGGTTCAGTAATTTGAGCCTTTTGTCCACACCTTGACCCAAAAGCACTGTGGGTACCACTGCTTCCCATCTCCCTCTACTTCAGAGGCTCAATGGAACCTCTCTCCACCTCATGCCAGGGGTTCTGTTTGCCTGTGGCAGGGTTCACACGCCCATAGAGCACCCTTTGCAACCAGCAGGTGGCAATACAAATTGAGTGGGGAAACTGAGTCATTGTGCATCTCTTCATAAAATTATCCCAGAAATGTCAGCATTAGAAATGGAGATGGGGGTTTTGTGCTGGAAGGTGTTAATTGCTGCCATCAAGTGGTTCTTTAACCTATAGACAATTACACTCTCAGAGGGGTAGCTGTGTTAGTCTGTATCTGCAAAAACAATGAGCCATCTTAAATCTGTTAAGCCAGGCCTACACTGGTGGAGAAAATCAATGCAAGATAAGCAGCCCCAGCTACGTGAATTGCATAACTGGAGTCTATGTACTTTGCATCGATTTTCTGGGGTGGCCCCACAGCAAGAGACCAACAAGAGAAACTCTCCGATTAACTTCCCTTACTTCTCATGACAGTGAGGAATACCATGGTTGATGAGAGCACCCTCCGTGTTTGATTTAGTGGGTCTTTACTAGACCCACTAAATTGAACCCCAGAAGATTGTTCTCCGGATTGTCGATCATCCGATAAGTGGAGAGATGGCCATAGTCTCCAAGCTGTCAAAGGACTCCTTATTGTTTTTGCAGACATCGGTGTTTGAAGCTGATGAGACTATTAGCCAGATACCAGGAGGTTCCTCGTGTCTCCCATTTTCCTCTTCCAATTTTCACCAAAAGTAGTTTTCTCCACTTTGATGCTTAGAACTGTCTCAGAAATGTTGGAATTGATCGGATGTGCTTTTTAAAAGTTACAGCATTGTAGACAGAGAAATGCCCTTGAGTTGAGTGGAAGGCCTCACAGGCTCAGCCAAAAAGATTAGTCATATTTGGTCCGTCCTCTGATTTTTGAACGCCATCAACCAAATAGGTAGTGACATAGAGTGGTCATGAACAAAGTCGTTGGCACACTGATTTCAGCTCATTTTGTTTCTACAGAATCTCCTAACAACATCTTGTGAAACAATGCCCGTAGAGCTTTAATGTCAATATAATTATACAGATTTGTACAAAGTGCTGCCTGAGAGTACGGAATGTTCTCAGATTCTCCTCAGAGCCCAAAATGGCACCTTAAGTCTGTGCTCCTCAGCTCCATCTGCTGAGCCACACTGCCGAGAACGCCTGTAATTTCAAAGTAACTTTCATTTTTGGGCCCCCAGTTCGTGCATCGACCAAGTAAACCCAGCCCCAAATCAATTTGTGTTGTGACCCCAGCCCTTGGACCTGTCCCCAGCCCAAATTCATGTTCATTTTATGTGCATAGCCCCAGTGTCCCATAATCCCCTTCTCCCCAGTACAACTCTGCTCATTCTGCAGTTGTGGAATCCCTCAGGAGATTCTTCATCTCCCCTTCCAAATTGGCACTTCCCAGAGCTGTTATGTGCTCCCTCTGCCCCGGGCCTGGTGATGCAGATAGAGAAGAGTGTCGCTGACCCTTCAGAGCAACAGATGTAGAGCTCTCCTCTTTCC